CTACGGCCGCTACGGGCGTCGGGCGTGGTAGGCTAGGCGCAACGGGAGCTAGGGAACGAGACGAACCGGCGTAATAGGCGCTAGGGGACGATACGGGCGCAACGGGCGCTAGGGTACGAGAAGAACCGGCGTGACAGGCGTTAGGAGACAGTACGGGAGGAACGGGATCCCACTGGATCCTAACCTAGGTGATACCATATCAAGAACGGAATGATCATGTTGACTAAGGTTGGTTGGGGTACATAAACGTAACCCTAACTGTTGTACCCCATATGACACACATCACTAAGACTATAACATCTGACACACAACACCTATCATGAATTCAGGAAATTCAGGATAATTTATCCTGATAGCATAGGGCCTGGCTCAAACAATTGTTAGGACATTCATTCTTCGCTGCTATAGCACCAAATTATGGTTAACACCATTATTGTTACCGTCATCACCCGGATATACCCCCAGGCCTATGTTACACCCATGGGCTTATAATCGGACTAGTGGGCTTATAGCCGGTTGCCAATTATAAGCCCACCCCAAATTCTCTCAATCTTCGTATAAGCGCACCCATTGAATTCCCGCGTTTTTTATAGTGAAATCGCCACTAACGCGCCTAAAGCAATCACTACTGACGTGCCTGGCGAAATCCCCCTCTGGCTCGCTTGGCGAAACTGTCACGGGAGCACACGTAAGACCAAATTATCAACAGTTCGGAATGTGCTGACACGGATTATCGTCAGTTTGACGCATTCCCTGAAAGTTTCAGCAGCGACCCACTTTGTGTTAGCATCGATAGAATCCGCAATGGTGAAATCTACATTCCAGTGTTTTAAATTCAAAATTCCATAAATGTCATTTATTTAGCCCATGGGGTTATAAAATTTACCACATTATAAGCCCACCCACCATTTTTTCAGGTTTTTTTATACCCCCACCTGGGGGTATATCCGGGTGATGACGGTATGTGATGTGAACTCCACCACCTCCTAACATTTACAGCAGTGTGATGACTATCCATAACTCTGCGCGTGCGCACACCGCCAGCATCTCACAGTCGCCATTCCCTGCGCCGCCTCTCGCACCGCGGCAAGCCTCGTCCGTGCGGAAATTATTTTGTGCAGTCTTAGCGTGTTACATTGGGTGACTCGTCCAGTCCCACTCCCTTGCACACCCACTACAATACAACCGCTGCCCCACAGCACTGACTGCCCTGTGTCTCAGCCCCTCCTCCCTCGCCCGCGTCTCCGCTGCTTTCCTCTGTGCTTCCATACATCCAACTCCTCTCACTCCCTCGCACACCCACTACACCCGCCACCGCGCACCATTAACTGCCTCTCTCTCACTCCTTGTGCCTCTGCCCCTTCTCCCTCGCTCTCTCCTCTGTGCCTCCTCCACCTTCCTCTAATTTTCCAACATCCGCTCCAACTCCTCCAGCTCCCTCCGCTTTTTCTCCTGGGGCATTACTATCAGAATCTAAACACAACGGAATGAATGAACTAGCAAAGTGTTGGATACAAATAGGAAACCCTAGCATCTGTACCCTCTAGAATGCAACTCACTACAGCCTATAACTATTATATTTGACACACCCCCATAGGCTAAGTGAGGGGCATAAAAAACAAGCAAGGCAGAGAAACGGTCACAAGACCAGTCAGCAAGAAGCAAAGCAAGCTCAGGGTGGATCTCAAGGACACCACACAAATTCCGAGCGCAAGCAAGCGGCCACAAGGCCAATTCAAGAGTTCACTAGGATATATACAGGAAAGCACAACAAGCAGAGCAAGCAACAAGACTACAGCAACCGAGGGCCTACCTCAACAAGCCCCAACTGCACACAGAACCTGTGGTGGTCACCAAGCGCTAGGGCCTTGTTGAAGACGTCTGCAGTGTTGGCCTCTGAGGCCACAAAGTCCCGGCGTGCCTGGCCGCGTCGCTGCAGCTCTCGCAGGAGGAAGTACCTCACGTCAATGTGCTTCACTCTGCTCTCCAGTCGAGGCTCTCGACAGAGGAGGATCATGGCCTTGTTGTCAGCGTACAAGGTCGGTGCAGAGCGAGGCCGCTCACCAAGGTCGGCGAGCAAGAAGGTCAACCAGCGAAGCTCCTGTGCCGCCATGGCACCAGTGTAGATCTCTGCCTCTGCACTGGAAGTATCCACAGACGACGACCGTGTAGACCTCCACGACACAGCACTAGCTCCCAGACTAAAGCAGTAACCCTGAGTCGAGCGCTGAGTCTCCACGTCGTCAGCGTAGCAAGAGTCGCAGTGACCAGTCAACGCCACTGGCTGAGTCCCTCCAAGCACAAGCCCCATGCCTAATGTAGTCGCCAGGTACTTCGCCACCCTCACAGCAGCTGTCCAGTGGACAGGACGGTGTCTCCCAGTCGCAACAAAGCGAGAAAGGATGCTGAGGGAAAAGCGAGGTCCGGCCGAGTACAAGTCATCAGGTACATGAGGCAGCCCACCAGCTCTGCGTAGGGACCACTGGACTCAAAGGGCTCGTCCGGAAAGGGGCCGGTGAGTCTGTGGTCAACCGCAAGAGGTGTAGGCTGTGTGGTGGAGAACTGGAAATTGAACCGCCGAAGGACCTGCTGCACCATGTGTGACTGAGTCAGTGTGATGGTGCGAGCGGCTGTGTCCCTGGTGATCTGCATGCCAAGGTAGCGCTTCAGTTCGCCTAGGTCAGTGCACTTGTGTCTCTTCTGCAGTTTGGACTTCACCTGAGCCCGAGCTGCCCTGTCTGCTGTAGCAAAGACCAAGTCGTCGACGTAGACAAAGATGAAGAAAGGAGTGGAACCAGCCCGAACAAACAGCGACGGGTCGGCGGACGACGGACTAAACCCAAGGTCACGAAGCGTGGAGCGAAGAGTGTCGTACCACTCACGGGGCGACTGGCGGAGACCGTAGACTGGCCGCCTCAGGCTCCACTCGGTCCCAGATGGGAAGGTGTCAGTGAAGCCAGGAGGGCGGCGCAGCCAGATCTCCTCGTGTAGTCGGCCCTGGAGGAACGCAGTGGAGAAGTCAAGGGAGTGCAGCTCGTAGTCTCGCTGTGCTGCTACGTGCAGTAACACCCGAAGAGTAGTCATTTTCGGGGTCGGGGCGAAGGTCTGGAAGAAGTCAACTCCCTCACGCTGACTGAAACCCCTAGCCACGTAGCGCGCCTTGAACACAGGCGGTGAACCAGGCGGCTGCTTCACCTTGAAGAGCCACATGCCATCGACTACGTTCGCCCTGGGAGGGGGAACTGCGTCGACGTAGGTGCCTGTGGATCTCCAAGAGGCTAACTCCGATGCCATAGCCGCTTTCCACTGAGAGGCCCACGCCCCTGACACTGCCTCACGGTAAGTACGAGGAGTCGGTATGTCAAGGGCGTCGGGGTCTCTCTCAGGGGATAGCAGCATGGCACAGACAGAGGGAGAAGCGGCTGCCCAGTACTCCATCTCAGACTCTCTGTCCTCTAGGACGTCACAGCCAAGGGCAAACTCACCCTCGACGGACAGAGGACAGGAGGGAGGAGCTGGCACCACACGGGTGGCGTAGTCAAGGCGGCTGGCGGCAGCAAACTCAGCGACAGTGGCAGTGAGAGCCGAGACAGACGACGGAGGGAAACAAGAGTCGGTGACAAGAGTGGCGAGGACACGGGAGACAACAGGACAAAACAGCACGGTAGTAGTCAGTGATAGGAGTAGGGGGGACAGGGAGAGAGGACGGAGGAGGAGATGGGAGAACGGACTCAGGAGGAGGAGGACGAAGAGACGAACAAAGGAGGGCAGTGCGGAGGTCGGTAACGAGAGACGAGTGACGAGCACGCGGAGGACAGGGACGGACACGAGGGTGTGGGACAACTGGTGGAGGAGACTGCGGTGGAGGAGAAGACCAGACCGCCGGACTGTCGTCAGGAGGAGGAAACGAGGGACCAAAAACTGGAGGGGACGGAGTGTGAACAGGAGGAGAGGAGGGAAGACCAAGGGCCCGAAGGCCACTCACGGGTGGGAACAACTGCCGCTCCAGAGGGAGCTGCGGTGGTCGCGGCGGCGGCGGTGGTGTCTGCTGCTGCGGCGGCGGCTGCTGCTGCTGCCGCCGCCGCCGCTGCTGCTGCTGCTGCTGCTGCTGCTGCTGCTGCTGCTGCTGCTGCTGCTGCTGCTGCTGCTGCTGCTGCTGCTGCTGCTGCTGCTGCTGCTGCTCCAGCAGGTCCAAATGCCGCAACTCCTGCCGCTCCCTCTCCAACAGCACCTGCTCCTCACGCTCACGCCGACGGGCCGCCTGGAGACGCGTGTCGTGGCGGTGGGGAGGCGGAGTGGACTCCGTAGAATCAGTGTCTCCAGCTCCAGTCTCCTCAGAACCAGCACCTCCAGTGCCAGCGCCTCCAGCACCAGCACCCCCAGAACCAGCACCTCCAGCTCCAGCACCCCCAGAACTAGCACCTCCTGTGCCAGGACCTCCAACTCCAGCACCCCCAGAACTAGCACCTCCAGTGCCAGCACCTCCAGCTCCAGCACCCCCAGAGCTAGCGCCACCTGCGCCAGCACCTCCAGCTCCAGCACCCCTCGAACGAGCACCCCCAGACCGAGGACCGCCAACGGCTACACCTCCAGCTCCACTACCCTCCCGTGTCCTGTGGTCCCCTCTGGTTTCCTGCGCGGCCTCCACATCCCCTCGTTCACTCGGAACTTGGTGGGTGTTGGTTACCTCCAGGACAAGGGGATCACGGTTACCGGTACCTTTGTGGGGGGTGGGAGGACTGCGGTCTGTACAGATCACGGTTACCATCTCAGAATCTAAACACAACGGAATGAATGAGCTAGCAAAGTGTTGGATACAAATAGGAAACCCTAGCATCTGTACCCTCTAGAATGCAACTCACTACAGCCTATAACAATTATATTTGACAATTACATGCCTCTCGAAACTTGTGTCTCAGCCCCTCTTCCTTTGCCCTCCCCTCCGCTGCTCCCCATCATGTCTCCATGCAATTAACTCCTCCCACTCCCCCACACACCCACTACACCCGCCACCCCACCACATTGACTGCCTCTCGTTCCTTGTGTCTCAACCCCTCCTCTCTCGCTCTCTCCTCCGCTGCTCTCCTCTGTGCCTCCTCCACCTTCCTCTGATTCTCCGCCAACATTCGCTCCAACTCCTCCTGCTCCTTCCGCTTTTGCTCCTGTGGCATTACCCGACATAAGAAAGGAAGAATGAACGAAAGAAGAAAAATAAACAGAACAAAACGTTGGAAGGGGAGAATGAAACAGACACATTGACCCAACTCCTCGTGTCATTTCCAGTTCTGCTCCTAAGGGTCTCACTCCCTCACTCACTCCCCCCCTCGCTCACTCACTCCCTCACTCTCTACCCCACTCACCTCTTTCCGCCGGGCATCAGCCAGCAGCGCCAGCTTCTCTCTCTCCACCTGCGCCTGCACCTCCTCCCTCAGCTTCTGCCGGTCCGCCACTTCACTCCCTCACTCCTTCAATAACTCCTTCACTCACTCCCTCACTTTCTTGCTCCCTTACCCACTCCCTCCCTCACTCACTCCCTCACTCACCTCTTTCCTTCGCGCTTCGGCCAGCAGCGCCAGCTTCTCTCTCTCCACCTGCGCCTGCACCTCCTCCCTCAGCTTCTGCCTGCCCGCCGCCACCATCGCTGCCACCTGCTGCTGCACCCGATCGCACGCCAGTTCTGCTTCTACCCTCTCTCTTATTGCTGCTTCCACTCGCACTGCCATCTCCTCCTCCTTCCTCCTCTCCTCCTCCTCCTGCTGCTTTCTGGACCGGTTGAAAGCAATATGCAGGGGTGGAAATGGGCACAATAGGGGATAGAAAACGGGAAATGGAACCTGAAGTTGGTGACAGAAAGCTGTAAAGGATGAGCAGACGTGAAGAACGGGTCATCGGACCAACCAAGACGTGAAGAAAATAAGGCTTTGGGTAAGATGTTGTGCTGTCCCTTCTGCTGACAGACTCGTGTGTGCTTTCCTCGCCTCTACCCCTCTCTCTTCTCCTCCCTCATATCCTCTCCCGCTTTCCCCGTCATTTCCGCTTTTTGACCTCTCATCCGTTGTTCCCTCTCGTTGACTGCCCTAAAGAGATAAGAAAAGCAAAGTAAGAGTAAAAGAGACTGTACCGTCTCGTTTCCTCCTCTTCAGCTAGTCTCCTCCACCTCTCCCTCGCCTTCTGCCTCTCCAGCTCCCTCGCCCTCTCCGCCTCTTCCTCCTCCTCCCTCGCCCTGTCCTCTTCCCGTTCCGCCCTCCTCCTCTCCCTCTCCTTCTTCTCCTTCTCCTTATCCTTCACCCCCTCCTTCTCCCTCTTCTCCTTCTTCTCTTTACTCTCCTTCACGTCTTTCCCGTCTCTCCGCCTCTCCCCGCGGCCTTTCTCAGCAGCATCGGAGGGCGAGGGGGAGCGAGAGCTGGAGGAGAGAGAGGAGCGGGAAGAGGAGCGACTGTGACTTCGCCTGGAGGGTATGGGATGAGGGTAGGAAGTCGTGTGGCGGAAATGAGAGAGCTGGATAAGAGAGAGGAGCGGGAACGGGAGGGACTGTGGCTTCGCCTGAAAGGTACGGGGCGAGTGGAGGAAGATAAGAGGTGAATTTGGGGAGATATGAGGTGAATATGGGGAATGAGGTGGTGAACATGAGGGAATTAGAAGGAGTAATAAGGTGAGCGTGAGGTGAGAATGGGGAATTATGAGGTGAGATATGTGAGGAAACCTCAGCGGCGATACGAACTAATCAGCAGCAATAGGAACGAATACCGTGCGACCGAAATTGACCACCTGCGGACTGTGCTAATCACCTGCGCGCAGAAGCAATCACATGCGCGCGAAAGTAATCACCTGCGCGCGGAACTAAACACCTGCTTTTGGAACTAAGCACCTGCGGGCGGGAGATGGACTGCGCTCGTCCTTCCGGCTGCGCCGCGCCGACGATCGCGGGGGGGTTAGGGATCGCGACCGGGATCGCCGGGTAGCGGGAAGTCCGGCGGGGGAGCGCGATTTTCGGCGAGGAGGGGATCGGGAGGCGGAGCGCGATTTCCGGCGTCTGCTAGGGGGTGATCTCGAGACGGATCGCGCCATGGATAGACACTAAACAACAGGCACTTTCTAATCGTCTGTCACCTCACCCAAGAGCGTTGACGTGGCGAGATTAGAAACGTGCCATTGCTTTCAAGTTGTAAAAGTCAAAATAGTTGCGGAATGTCTTGGTGAGCGTGCTGGTGACAGTTGATGAATGCACATGCCCAACGCACGACCACTTCGCTGAAATGGAAGAAGGGAAAATATGCCACACGTAATCAACAAGGGTCTCGATAATTTGTTTGGTAAATAAATAACGGGTACGGTCACTGGAAAGGGTGTTCTCACGTGTTTGATAAAACGTTTCACGGAGTCAGTCACAATCAACTGGGAAAAAATAACGCGAATGGTCACAGATGAAACTCCCGCCCAAAAAAGATAATACCCAAAACGAACCTGGATGCATTATTCGGATGAATCAACCCTGAACACAATTCGCCAGGTGTTTAGGGTTGATCCGTTCCCAAACCGCATTCTATTCCGATTGGGTTTAGTTTTTCCAGAAGTTAGCTGATTGGTTGGACGCAAGCGGGGAATATTGTAGAGTTTCAAGATTATTTGGCGGGAGTTACATGTGTGACCATTCGCGTGATTTTTTACCTGTTGTTAGTGACTGAATCCGTGACCCCACTTACCAGACCCGTCAGGAAACCCGATACAGTGACCGTACACGTTTTTTTTGGTACCATTCACGTTATCGGGTCCCATGTTCGTTACGTGTGGCATATTTTCCCATGGAAGAATTCTCAGACAAGAATGAAATACTGTACTGCAAGTGATGTAACGATAAGGAAACAAGTCACAATATACAATAACCCCCTCCGTTGCCTCAGCTTTTGTTTCATCAAAACACAAGTCTTACAGAAGAACCTCCCTGAAACAGTTCACTGTGAAGCCTTTTCAGAAATTTGTGGAACTAGCCAGCAACTATTGCTCAGCAGTTTCATACAATCAGACCACGTGTATTATCACCCTGGTAAACGTACCTTAATAGAAGCGTCATTCTAAAACACACATCAACTAAACACCACAACCTCATTGTTAGCCCCATACCTATCCCAATTCCCTCCAAAGGCCCAATTCTGAAACCCGCCATCCCCAGTGTTCACAACGTTGAACGCACCCTGCTTGTAATACACCGCAAAAACCGAGTCACCCCAGAAATGTGACACCCAGACCTCGGCATAAGACGGGTCACCCTCCACCTTGCGAGAGCTCTTGATCACCATCACGTTGTAACCCGCGTTCATGAAAATATCCACCACCTTCGTCGTCACTTCGCCGTCGTCATCCACAGCGTCGATTGTGCCCAGGCTCCCTGCAATGATCTGATCCACCGTCACCCCGTCCCAGCTGAACAGCTTCCGCTCGACCCTGTGCGGAGATCCCAAGGCCGATGTAGAGCCGAACGTATTTCCGGGCCGCGCTGCGCTGGCGCTGGTGACGGCGAGGAGCACGAGGAGGGAGAGCGGCAGCAGCTTGCGCGCTGCGGACAGCCACGCCTTACTCGCCATTGTCGAGATGCTTTGAGATCGTCGCAGTCAATGCCGCACGAATTAGAGAAGCCCCGTTGATAGCGCAACTATGGAAAAAAGTTGTTGAAAGGAAACCTGGTTGAGATTGCGACTGTGGAAAAAGCAGTTGTGAAAGAGCTGATGGCGAAAGACACCTTGAGCGTCTGGTTTATAAATTTTCGTTCTCAAGCCTAAAGCTGAAAGCAGCTCATTATCTGCTCGTGCCGCCATAGCCAGACGTCTGCGTTTCGGACCCAGTTGTGAACGACACGGGTGGGTTCTTGCAGTTACGGCAGGTCCGAAGTTCGAGCGTAGAACGCAGCGTGCAGCGGAGGGAGGAAGAGGGAGGGAAGATGGTGGCACAGGAACAACACGGGAAAATGGTCCGACTAGCCTCAAAGGTTGTGGGGGAGGAAGAGGGAGGAAGGGAAGGCGAGGGGAAGCAGAGGAAGGTCAGAAGGAATTGTTCCGCAACCCGCGAGGTTGACTAGGGCTGCGTTGTGTTGGCGCATTAGTAATGCGCCAATGACGGACAAGTTATGCGCTGGGAGGCTTCGGCGCAGGAGTGCACCCACCCAAAATTACCACGAAGGGATGACCCGGGCGCGAAGTATCGACGAGGCAGGCTCGAGGGTGTTTATGCGTGGGCGGACCCAAACATTTGAGAAGCATCAGCACGGATGGGCAGCACTAGCCCAAAATTGTTTTTGGCACGTAACACGATTTGGTGCCTGCATCCAACGGCCGATTTATTTGCTGCTAGACCCGTGGATTCAGAAACTCGCCAAAAAATGTACTTTCCCGGGCGTTTTCGGCTGCCCTGCACAGCTTGGCCTCGTTCTGTTGGCGCATGAGCAGTTTGGGCTTTACGCACAAGCACTGCGGGATGGGTTTTCCTCGAAGGGGTCAACCTCCCGCGGCCTCGGCGAAGTTTGCTGCTAACGACAAAGCGGAATAGCTCAACGAAACGAGGTCGACGATCGTCCGACGACCGTCGACCACCGTCGACCTGACCGACGGGCAGAAAAAAAACTAAAACCCTATCGGATGGCACGCCATCCGAGGGAGGCATCAACCATAAACACATCCTCCATGTGTTTAGGGTTGATGCCTCCCTGACCGGATGCATGCCCGATAGGGTTTTATTTTTTTTGCCCCCGGGCAGCGAGCTCTCCTGGGCGGACTCGCTTGTCCGTTGAGCTATATTCGGAGGTTTAGCAAACAGCCCATGTTTTTTTCGGTCACCATGCTCAGTCTGCCCAAGATGTTCAAAATGTTTAATTCCAACCACTCACAAACCTTTGGCCTTTGGGTTCACCCTTGCCTCTCGTTTGGTATGTTTTTTTGGTGAGTTAATTCATCGCTAAATTTCCCAATAACGGGCGTTGAGAACTGCCCGTTATTGCTTGTGCGTCCCCTTATCCCCCCTTCGAAAGGCGGATAGGGTTCGCACGAGTGGTGCCTCCAGTTTGCTTGTGAGAGAAGTTTCTGTCAAAGTACAATCTTACTTGTAGGCTATAGTGGGGCACTCCTTATGGGGTACAGCACTTTTAGGGTTAGTACTTGTACCCCAACTCTTGCTAATCCAACCATTCCTGCACAGTTTATTCTGACATGGTATTCAGAACAGGAAACATGTTAGGTTTTTAGGGCCCACCGATAGTTCCGCTAGTTCCTACCCGAAGCGCCCTTGCGCTGTCCGGCCTTGCTCGCACAGTGTCGCGCTGCCCTGCAACTACTCGCACTCCCTGCCCAGCGCGCGCCGCCCTGCCATGCAGCCCGCGCCCAGCTGCCCTGCAGCCTGTGCATCGCGCTGCCCTGCCCTTAGGCCCGCGCGCCGCCCTGCCCTGCAGCTCGCTAGCCGCGCTGCCCTGCCCTTAGGCCCGCGCACCGCCCTGCCCTGCAGCCCAGCGCGTCGTGCCCTGCTGCCCTGCCCAGCGCGCCCCACTGCCCTGCGTGTCGCGCCCTGCTGCAGCCCGCGCGTCGCACCCTGTTGCCCCGCGCGTCGCGCCCTGCTGCAGCCCAGCGCGTCGCGCCCTGCTGCCCTGTCCAGCGCGCGCCCCGCTGCCCTGCAGCCCGTGCATCGCGCTGCCCTGCCCTTAGGCCCGCGCGCCCTGTCCTGCAGCCCGCGGCGCGCCCTGCCTTGCCCAGCCGCGCCGCCCAACCCTGCCGAGCCGCGCCGCCCAGGCCGAGCCGCGCCGCCCAGCCCGAGCCGCGCTGCCCCACCCGAGCCGAGCCGCCCTACCTCATTCGCCAGCCCCACCGAGCCGCCCTGCTACTACTACTGCTGCTGCTGCTCGTGCTACTGCTGCTGCTGGTGGAGGTGCTACTGGGAGTGCTGGAGGTGCTGGAGGTGCTGCTGGGAGTGCTGGAGGTGCTGCTGGTGCTGGAGGTGCTGGACCTGCTACTGACCGTCACTGCCTGTCATGGCCACTATCATGGTAGTTGCAGCGGCTAGGGCTGGACAGCAACGGTCACTGCCTCTCCAGGACAACCCCACCCCTCAGCAGCTTCGTGAGTGGGTTATTCAGCGAGTCAGTCCTGGTGGTGGAGGTTTGGTTTTATGGGTACTGCACAGCGGCGGCAGCAGCGTCCGCAGGGCACCTTCTCCCTGCAGCGGCTTCGCGACTGTGCTTCTCAACGATGCGTCCCTGATTGTGTAGAGGCTGCTGCTCTCGGTTCTAGTGAGTCCGCTGCCGCTCCAGGTGCTAGTGAGTCTGTTGCAGCTCTAGGTGCTCGTGGGTCTGCAGACGCTCTAGGTGCTAGTGCGTCTACTGCCACAGGTCCTGCCTCAACTGAGGCCTTGCGCACTTTCACACTTGACTCAGGCGCGTCATGTTGCTTCTTTCGTGATTGCACCATAGTCACACCACTCGCAGCACCTGTCCCAGTCTCACTGGCTGACCCCACTGGGGACCCAGTAGTTGCGCGAGCCTCCACTGTCCTCCCGTGTCCAGCAGTCCCCTCCGGGTCTCTCTCAGGTCTCCACCTCCCTGCGTTCTCGACGAACTTGTTGAGCAACGCAGTTCTCCAGGATGTATGGGTTGACACCTTCATTCTTGGAGGTCAGCGTGTGGCGATCTGTACGTGCTCACGGACTGGCCGTCACCTTGCTACGTTCACTCGTCAGCCTGGGTCCGGTCTGTACACACTGACCACTGCGTCTGCACAGGTGGCTGAGTCAGGTCAGGTGGCTGCGTCGAGTCGGGTGTCTGAGTCTGGTCAGCTTGCAGCGTCTTGCTCGTGTCGGGTACTCTCTCACCAGACTCTCTGCTGGCACCACCGCCTCGATCACCCCTCGATGCCGCGTCTCCGTAGCATGCACTCCCGACTCCTTGTCTCTGGCCTTCCCAGATTCCTGCCCTCCCTCCCGCGCTCGCCTGCACTGCCGTGCCTTCCCTGCATCGAGGGACGGCAGCGCGCCGCTCCTCACTCCTCCGAGTTTCCTCCGACCACTGCTCCTCTGCAGACTCTCCACATGGACGTGTGGAGCCCGGCCCCCGTCAGTGGAACGGACCAGGAGCGCTACTTCCTGCTAGTGGTTGACGACTACACACGCTACACCACTGTCTTCCCCTTGCGGCGCAAGGCGGACGTCAGCGGTGTTTTGATCCCCTGGATCCGTGCTACTCGTCAAAAGCTGCGCGAGAGGTTTCGGCGGGACTTGCCAGTCCTGCGTCTGCATTCTGACAGGGGCGGCGAGTTCCTGTCGAGACGAGGGCATCCGCCAGACGTTCACGCTTCCGGCCTCTCCTCAGCAAAATGGGATCGCTGAGCGTCGCATTGGCTTGATCATGGAGGTTGCTCGTACCTCCATGATCCATGCGGCTGCTCCCCATTTTCTGTGGCCGTTTGCGGTCAATACGCTGCGCATCAGCTCAACCTCTGGCCCGTGTCTCTGAGCCAGAAACCTCGCCCACACTCCGGTGGATGGGGAAGGTTGGCGATGCGTCGGTGTTTCGGGTCTGGGGTGCGCTCTCCCTTGTTTGCGAAGCCAAAGCGAGCAAGCTCTCCTCTCGCACTCTCCGCTGCGTCTTCCTTGGCTTCCCCACCGACGCCCCGCCGTGGCAGTTCTACCACCCGCGCGAGCGTCGAGTCTTCTCCTCCCATGACGTCACCTTTGACGAGTCTGTCTGTTTCTACAGGCTACACCTCCACGCGTCCCACCCGGTCCCCATAGTGCCTCTCTTCCTGGTACCAGTCCCCCCCTCAGTAGACCCCCTCCCCCCACAGGGTCCTGCTCCCTCAGGTGTGTCTCGGGTAGACCCACCCCCCTTAGTTGAGCCTTTGGAGATCTCTTCTGACTCCTCTGGCCCAGCTGAGGGGGGTGACTTCGCCGCTGATGACACGGCGGCCACTCGCCGCTCTCCACGCTTGGAGACCCCCCCTGGTTTTCCGCCTCGGCCGTTTTCGCCGCCTCCGCAGCTTGCTGCTGTGGACTCTAGAGCTGAGACTGCTGGTGCTGAGCCTGGGGGTGCTGAGACAGAGGGTGAGGGTTCTGGGGGTGCTGCGACTGGGGGTGCTGGTTCTGGGGGTGCTGCGACAGGGGGTGCTGACTCTGGGGGTGCTGCGAGTCCTGGTGGCGGTGGAGCTGTGGGTGACCCTGCTGGAGGTCCTGGAGCTGGACAGCCACCGCAGCCTGATCTACTTGAGACGCTCTCGCCGCAGCAGATTCGTGAGTGGATCGTTCGGCGAGGTAGTCCTGGTGGTGGAGGGTTCGGTCCTGCTGGTGCTGGAGCTGCTAGTCCTGTAGGTACTGCTGGGGGTGCTGGAGGTGCTGCTGGTGCTGGAGGTACTGCTGGAGGTTCTGCTGGTGCTGGAGGTACTAGAGGTGCTGGAGGTGCTGGAGCTGCTTGTGCTGGAGGTGCTGCTGGTGCTGGAGGTACTGCTGGAGGTGATGCTGGTGCTGGAGGTGCTGGAGGTGCTGGAGCTGCTAGTGCTGGAGGTGCTGCTGGTGCTGGAGGTACTGGAGGTACTGTTGGGGGTGTTGGAGCTGCCAG